AAAATGATGTGTTTTCTAGAACTTTTTGTGATTTCTTTCATGAAACTCAAGAAATATGCGAATGGTGGAGATTTTTTTTCTTGGTGAGGAAGATGGATAGCTGGAGATGAATATTCTTGTCTTGCAGAGTTTAAAGACTCTCTTTTTTCATTTTGAAGAACAAAGAAAATTATTGGAAAACTTGGAATTTGATTGAGCCTTTGGAGTGGTATTTGAATTGCTTTGCAGTGAAGGTATTCTAAAACCCTCTCTAAAGTTGTTCTTGTTTGTCATCAAGGATCAAACAGAGCATATAGAGTTTTTATAATTTTGTGGCAAGAACATAATTTGAATGTTATGAATAAATTCCATCCCACCAAAACATCGATACTGTGCATCATTAACGAATGAGGATTTCATTTATTTCTGTTAATTTCTTAAGGTAATTTGTTGTGTTGTGAGGCCTGTGTAATGCATAGCTACTGTCATTTTGAGGCGTTGGTGATTTTGATGTGGAATTGCATATAATTCTATGATGGATTAGCCATATACGTTTGTTCATGTATATTGTGTTTTTGTAAAATTATTTATTTAATGCCTATTGTTGAATTAAATTAAATATAAATGTGGATCTGTAGATATTTGAATCATAATGCATATCGTATAATTCAATGGTGTTGATAAATTGGCCGGGGGTGTTGAAACTTGAAAGTAAAACTACAAAGGACAAACTGAACTGAATAAATTGAACATCAAGGTCGATTATATAAAGAAAATAAAGTAGAAATTTGTTTTCGATTGATTTTGGTTGATTTTTTGTGCATATACCCAAAACCCAAGTTTTTACAACTCTTCATGCATGCACTGAGGACTTTGCCCGCGTTGCATCCATTTGGATATAAATTTGAGACAACAGTAGTTTATAATTTGTTAAATTGTGTTGACTTGTAAGCCCAATTATAATGGTAAAATCACTATTTTACAAGGAAGGCAAGGGCCCCGTAATGCAGTTTGGATTTAATCCCAACAAGGATAATTTAGTTAAAACTAGTACTCTCTTACTTGTGCACTAGTACGAATCCCGTGCGATGCACGGGGTAGACAGTTTTAAAGCTATTTACCCAACTTTATTATTATATTATTATATTCGTGAATAAAGAAAATTAAATAAATAGGATAAAAAATATTATTATATATTATTAAAATTCTCCTTATAGACAACATTTTCTGTCTTGTAGGAACATAGTGTTCCTGCAAAGTAATATTTTCAAACTATTTCGATTGGTGACATGGGAAACAACTATATACAACTGATCTTGACAGAGTGCCAACTTCTTCAAGAACATGTCAAGATGTGATAAAGACTAACCTTGCTCTTGTTGATCGTCGTGGGATAAGAAACTATTAGGAGAAATTGTCTCCGCTGAAATTTGAATGGTGCTCTAACCCAGGAACGTGTCATCCGAGGGATCAACACCTTCAACTCATGGTTCGACACTCCAGAACATCTGATAGTATTCAAAAAGTCGGGGATATGGAGATCAGACAAAAATATCATTATTGTAATCAGATTTGTACGTACTATCTGAGCTCACGTATGTTTGACCATCAGTCATGTTCAAAGACGTCATGTAGTCATTCATAGACTCAACTACCTCCAACGTTGGAGCTACTATAGCTCTATCCTTCAAATAACTGGGATCATCGCTTGTATCTTTAAATATTGGATATGTACTCTCAACAATTGCACCGATAAGATCATTAGTAGGCTTCAATAATATATCATCAGAAATGTCTATCAAGTCAAATCCATCATCGGATCTCCCAAGAATTCCATCTTCGATGCTTGCTATTTGATTAGCATAAGTTGTCAGCTCCTTGCATTTATCCGAATCGCCAATGCTCTAAACGCCCATATTTTTTTTGTAAGCCTCAGTACAGTATAATTAGCCTGTACATCATAATAATTAATTTCAGCATTCATAGTATCCTGACATCTCCCATTTGAAATAATCGGGAGGATATGTCGGAAGTCCTCATCATGAAATAGGATTTTCAAGTAATTATTGTATTTAGCCTCAAATTTGTGTTCGATTATTCGAATCGTACACAACATCATATGTAGCTCTTTAGTTCTAGTGACATCCTTGGTCAGACCAAATTCATACCTCATGTTGAATTGAATTAAATAAGTATAAATCGTGTATTGTTTAAAAAAAAATTAAATCGAAAGCAGGATGAGTAGACAACATTGATTTACACTGAATTTATAGGGGATGAAGAACAAAGTATAGATCAATTTCATAAATATTTGATATGAAAATGTTTTAACAATCACAATAAATTGCATATGATTCATATCAATTTTTAAACTTGTGCAAATAACACTTCTTATATTTTGTAATTACAAGTATTTATTCTATGTAACTCACACGTTTTTTTTTTGGTTAATCTGATCCTATTATATTTTACCATGTTTGTTTATTTGTATATTGAAAATTAGTAAATTGGTGATTTGCAATGTGGTTATGTAATATTTGATTTTGAGATTTTTTTTGTAATTATATTTTGGTTAATTGCTAATAAATTAATAATTTGATTATATCGAGTATATTGAATCAAATCGACAATATCAATTTTTTTTTTATGTAGATCTCGTACATTTTTTTTTTCATCAATTTGGTCATGGTGAAATGAAATTGTGTAAGTTTTTTCTTAAATAATGATAAACACGCTATACAATGCCATTTTTATAATATCTCATTGAAATTTTGACTTCCACTCCAATCATTTAAGCCAACAAATATCGATCATATTATTATCGGTCATATTATTTTTTTGATTTCTCATAAAAAATATCGAATCCAAAGCGTACAAAAGAAAAAATGGAGACACGCATTTATTCTAAAATGATCGGTCATACTATTGTTCAAATATTTTATACGTAAAAAATCGAGACACTTTTTATCATGCTAAAAAATTGAACAGTTCATTTCACACAATAAATTAATTAAAATATCATAACAAAAATGAACTAAATAAAGACCCACTGATTATAACAATAAAAATGAAAAATGCTAAAAGTACATAATAAATGTATATAGAGGTGTACATAACACTCACATGGAGTGGGGTCCACTTAATTTTTATTTTTGGTCGGTCATACTCAATGTGAGTGTTATGTACAAGAGCGTCTGATCCTGTTAAAAGCCTATTGAAAAGTAAAGCTTTCACCCTATGTATAATATTATGTACCTATAACATTTCTCAACCAAAATTGACCAGAGCTTTTTCTATTAAAAAAAAAAACATCGAAACACACATTATATCAAAATATTTATTCATATTATTTTGACAATGTAGTTTTTCAAAAGCAAATGGTTGTGTTTTCAATTTTACTTTCAAATAATATACATGTGGTTGTGTTTTATTATAATGCTCTACGTTTTATGTGTTAACGTATATTCAATTTAATATTATAACTAATATTGTTTCTCCGTGCATCGCATGGGTTATGCGCTAGTTTTAAGATAACCTCGATTTGACCATATATATATATATTTTTTTTGAAAATTTATCTCATAAACTTGTAAGTTTTTCAAAAAAATTCAATGAAGATTTTATTTTATAATTGATTTATCAACTAATTTGACAATCATTTTTATTATATCAGCTAATGTTTCGACTTTCAATTATATGATATAATCAACTATAAAGTTGAAATCCACTAAAGCTATCAACTACCTTATAACTATCAATTATATTTACCAAGAATAACTCTAAATTGAGTAAATTCTATTCGTGTGTCACCAACATTTTTTTAATTATTTGTTAATAATAACAGTTATGTAAATTGCTATAAAGTGCAAAAATAATTGAGTTGTAAAACCAAAAAATAAAAGAAATAAAAACAATAAGTGACAAAGATTGATTCTCCACGCGTAGCATTTTATAAATACAGCTCATAATTAAAAAATTTTGGTTTTCCACTCCAAACTGAGCAGTGTACCACACTATACACAAATTTGGTGTAAAACAAATCACGACCATCTTTCACAAAAGAACACACACAATATATATACATATATATATATATAAAATAAATTAAATAAAAAAAATCAAACACAAAAACTCACTTCCTCAAAGTAACAAATAAAAATAAAAAACATATGCACCACAGCAAGAAAAAAACTACTGCTAATTTTTTGTCTGATTATGGTCTCATCTGATCAAAACTCTTTCACATGTCACATTCTTTTTTCAACTCATCCAATTCTATTTATTCCCATCAACCCTCTTCACCTTACTCCCTAAAATTCCCCCCCTTCAACGGCATGAGAGCTGGCCGGCAGAACCGATTTTATAATCCTCTTCACCTCTTCTTGCCACCGCCGGAGCTCCCGGCTCTTCAACTCGTCCTTGAGGCACTCTTCCAGTAATTTGGCTGACTCGATCTGGCGCGAGCTCTCTTACTGAGATCTCAATAGTTATGTAATTCAGAATTTTTGTATGTAGCCCATCAATTCTTTCGAGGGCGATGAAAGAGATGGCGAAATTCGAGAGCTTTTCGTGGGGCTGTTTGTTTAAAGGGGACGGTCAAAGTTTGTTTTTATTTAAAAAACTCCTTCAAAATGTTTTTTTGTTGAAATAACCCTTACATTAAATAAAGGTAAAAGAATAATTGTAATACCTAAAATACCCTTAGATAGTAAATGACTAAGATACCCTTATTCTATTTTGTTATCAACTTTGTAANACACGAATCGTCCGCTCTGCTCTCTTCTCTTGAAAAAAAATCTTACGAATCGCTCATCTCTTCTCTTGTCCTGAAAAGGTAAGAACAAAACCTGATCATGTTTCATAAAAGTTTGGATTCTATATTGCAAAAAAAATGTGTGATGGTGAAGAACAACAAAAAAAAACATCACCTTTATTTTAAATAAAACATGTTGGTAGGGTTTGTTGTTATTTTAGAGATAAAGCATTTTGATTCATATTTTATGATTGATAAACATGTTGGTTTCATATTTATCATGTTTTTGTGGCATTGAGGTTTTTTTTTCAATGTTTTTGTACATAACAAATGTACAGTCGTTAAGTTGTTTCATAACTAATGTACATTCGTTATATGAAGAAAATCTCATAACAAATGTAGATTTGTTATCTAATTATTTCATAGCCAANATATTAATTTTAGCAAAGATGGTGTGGATACAAGTATTCCATTATGTTGAGTTTAAAAATAATACGGATGACACTTGGACGTGGAGATATGTGAATGAAGATGAAAAGAATGTCAATCCTATTTATGTTCGCGACGACATATCTTTCTTGGAGCTTGAAGATGCGGTCCTGAAGCTCATAAAGTTCGATAGCATCTCACACGTAATAGAATTGCGATCACTGAACCCAAGAATGACCAAATTTCCAGTCCCCCCTGTGAAGATCGATTCAGGTGAGAAAGTCAAATGGTATATATCTATTTGTGACGAACATCCTCTTTGCGTAACACTTGTCGAAAAACTTGTTGAGGAGGAAACGAACAATGTTAAAGTTGAAAAAAATCTTAAAGTTTGAAGAAGAAACAAACAATGACAATTTAGAGGCGATCGAAACACTTACATGGGAAAATGAAATTGTAGAGCCGCTCGAAGGTCAATGGGATAGTATGGTGGAGAATAGATATAGTCCTATGGAAACACTTACACGGCCATATAGTTGCTAAAGGTTGAAGTTGTATTTTGACTTGTGTATAATGTTTTATGTGTATCCATTGTAGTGATTATTCAAATATTTTTCCAATGTAGTTGGAAACGACTATAGTCTCGTTATATAGTATTAGATAGTAGTATTACACTAAAAAAGGCTAAAAATATAAGTATAACGAAAGTACAGTCGTTATCAACTATGAAATAACTAAGGTCCTTTCCTTATCCATATCGCGGGCGCGACTGCTATCACGGGCGCGACACTGAAGCTGCAGTTTGGTTGGGCAGAGAGCTTCCCAGGATGTCGCAGGCGCGACGTGTATCACGAGCGCGACAACCGCCTCGTCGCTTTCGCTGCACCCGTCGCGACGCGACACGTTGGTGTTATTTTCGGACAGAAAGCTGTCCAGGATGTCGCGAGCGCGACGTTCCTCGCGGGCGCGACATATGCAACCGTGAATAAATGAACCCAAAAAAACGAAATCGAATTCCAAGTCCAAACGAGTATAAACGAGCCTGAAAAGTGAAGAGGCGAACAAAATCCAGTCGCCGCGGCCGCGGAGAAGGAGGAGTCGCGGCCGCGAGGGTCCCAAAATGTCCCACTTCTGGCCAGATGATCTCGCGACCTCGGGGATGGTCGCGGCCGTGAAGATTTCTTCGCCGCGGCCGCAGAGGTCGCGACGAGCAGGATTTTTAGTTCGATTTTTAGATCTGTTTTTCATTATGTTCTTTGCTAGGTTTTGATACTCTCTCGTGCTTTTTCACTCCAGAACACTTTTTCTCTCAGTTTTTGGTAGAAATTAATCGTGGAGAGTGAAAAACTCCAAGATTGTTATTTTCGAATTAGTTTCGCACTCGGATTTTGACGTTGAACCTTCGTATTAATCATAAGCTTCTATTTTTCATTTCATTCATGAATGTTATGGTTTTGTTTGATATGAATGTTTGTGTTGAGATCACTATGAGTAGCTAAATTCTCTAACTAGGGTTAGGGGATTGTCGTTTCGTTTCGATCTCGTTTACATGCTTGATAATTACTCAATCTTTTCGAGTTGTGCTTAAACCTAGGGTTTTAGATGCTTGATCACCATCTCAATCTAATTAATCAATTTTAAAACCGAAAGGGGAGAAATCGATCGATCTAGGCTCGTTAGAATAGGCTTGTTTGGTGATGTATTGTCTATGCGCTGATTGGCTCGATAATTGCTCGTTTATGCTTATTCTCTTGTTTCGTGAGATATTGAGAATGAATCTCTAGAGGAGTTAGTTTTTCGAGTCCTTTGGTCGCGTAATTGATTGCCCGTTAAATGTTTTGAGAACCGGAAACGATTATCCCCGATACCCTAGCCTCCCTTATTACTATTTGAATTCGTGTTCGGAGTTGTGAGATTTGAATAGCTAGGATTAGCTTTATAATTCGTAGTTGATAAATCAATCCAAATCAATCTGATTAGAGTGTTAGGATTATTTTCTCTCTTGTGATTGAATACACGTACAAGATAATCCGGCTGACCTTTCTCGAGACACGACCCAGTGTCTAGTCGCCGCGGCCATGGAGAAGGAGGAGTCGCGGCCGCGAGGGTCCCAAAATGTCCCACTTCTGGCCAGATGATCTCGCGGCCTCGGGGATGGTCGCAGCCGCGAAGCTTTCTTCGCCGCGGCCGTGGAGGTGTAGTCGCGGCCGCGGAGGTCGCGATGAGCAGGATTTTTAGTTCGACTTTTAGATCTGTTTTTCATTATGTTCTTTGCTAGGTTTTGATACTCTCTCGTACTTTTTCACACCAAAACACTTTTTCTCTCAGTTTTTGGTAGAAATTCATCTTGGAGAGTGAAAAACTCCAAGATTGTTATTTTCGGATTAGTTTCGCACTCAGATTTTGATGTTAAACCTTCGTATTAATCGTAAGCTTCTATTTTCATTTCATTCATGAATGTTACGGTTTTGTTTGATATGAATGTTTGTGTTGAGATCACTATGAGCAGCTAAATTCTCTAGCTAGGGTTTAGGGGATTGTCGTTCCGTTTCGAATTAGTAGTGTATGGAGTTTTTGGTGGGAATGATTAGTTTCTTGTTGATTATGAATAGGTGGTGGAATATTCGAGTATTTATGTGCTCGAAAGTATGACTGTCTATTTGAGCCACTTTTTCTTCTTATTTGTCCTTCCTTTGATACCTACATTACAACCCATGACGTCCTCTTGATTTGCAAATTCATGATCTTTGATTGTTTTAGAGTACGAATAGACAATAAGCAAGATTATGTGATGCATGATGATCGACCAATTTGAGCGAACCCACTTTATATTCATTCAAGAAACTGAGTGAGGCATATATGTGTTATACTTCCGTGCTTGAGAGTTTGTCTTTTCAAGGCGTTGCATTCGATTTGTAATTGAGGTGTACTATATTGATCATTGGAAGTCTCATCGGCTAAGTTGATTAATTTGAAGCTTGTCTTATTTGAAACTGTTATCCATGCTCGTTTGCTTGTTTTCGGGTCTTTTCTTTTCTTTTTGTTCGGGACGAACAAAGATTTTAGTGTGGGGGAGTTGTTTGTCCCATTTTTGTTGCGTATTTCTTTGTCTTTTAGTCTTTATCTTTTTCCCATTTTAGGTGTTTTAGTTGTTTTTTAGGTCGTTTTGTAGTCTATGTCGCGGTTCGCTTTATTTTAGTTTTTCTTGTGTTTTTCGGTATTTTCTCGGTTTTTCGTCGTCGTTGGTGTGCAGGTTAGAAGTCCCGAGAGGATCGGATTTCTGGCATACGTTGGTCGTTCAAGCGTAATAAAATAGAGGGTTTCGTTGGCGACAAGCAGAAAAAAACAGAATCGAATTCCGAGTCCAAACGAGTATAAACGAGCCCGAAAAGTGAAGAGGCGAACAAAATCCAGTCGCCGCGGCCGCGGAGAAGGAGGAGTGGCGGCCGTGAGGGTCCCAAAATGTCCCACTTCTGGCCAGATGATCTCGCGGCCTCGGGGATGGTCGCGGCCGTGAAGCTTTCTTCGCCGCGCCCGTGAAGCTTTCTTCGCCGCGGCCGTGGAGGTCGCGACGAGCAGGATTTTTAGTTCGACTTTTAGATTTGTTTTTCATTATGTTCTTTGCTAGGTTTTGATACTCTCTTGTACTTTTTCACTCCAGAACACTTTTTCTCTCAGTTTTTGGTAGAAATTCATCTTGGAGAGTGAAAAACTCCAAGATTGTTATTTTCGGATTAGTTTCGCACTCGGATTTTGACGTTGAACCTTCGTATTAATCGTAAGCTTCTATTTTCATTTCATTCATGAATGTTATGGTTTTGTTTGATATGAATGTTTGTGTTGAGATCACTATGAGTAGCTAAATTCTCTAGCTAGGGTTAGGAGATTGTCGTTCCGTTTTGATCTCGTTTACATGCTTGATAATTACTCAATCTTTTCGGGTTGTGCTTAACCTAGGGTTTTAGATGCTTGATCACCATCTCAATCTAATTAATCGATTTTAAAACTGAAAGGGGAGAAATCGATCGATCTAGGCTCGTTAGAATAGGCTTGTTCAGTGACGTATTGCCTATGCGCTGATTGGCTCGATAATTGCTCGTTTATGCTTATTCTCTTGTTTCATGAGAAATTGAGAATGAATCTCTAGAAGAGTTAGTTTTTCGAGTCCTTTGGTTGCGTAATTGATTGCCCGTTAAATGTTTTGAGAACCGGAAACAATTATCCCCGATACCCTAGCCTCCCTTATTACTATTTGAATTCGTGTTCAGAGTTGTGAGATTTGAATAGCTAGGATTAGCTTTATAATTCGTAGTTGATAAATCAATCCAAATCAATCTGATTAGAGTGTTAGGATTATTTTCTCTCTTGTGATTGAATACACGTACAAGATAATCCGGCTGACCTTCCTCGAGATACGACCCGGTGTTCGAATCTTTTGATTCTACTCCGGTAAAAATTATTACATCAATCAGTTCCTCGACTTATTTTCGGGAGCTCGGCATCGAACCCCTTCGTTATTTATTATATTAAAACTTCTCGTTACAGTAATATCTTTAACCATTTTGATAAAATACTATTATAACCACTGTATTGAGAAATACGTAAAAAATACAACTTCAAAAATCGACCACCCTCATTGCATTGAAAAACACATGAAAAATAATACAAAATGTATTATCCAAAAGATCCCTACAACTCGTTACATATTGAATGTTTAAAACAAAATATGGATCAAAATGAGCACCAGATATTTCAGCCGCTAGTTTTACACGTCACTCACTAATCCGAGATTGATCTACGCCTTCAACATTCTTCCCAGCATGCAAAAATTCTATAAACTTGATTGTAAACATCCCACAATCAAATCTGCAACATAAATGTACAAATTCTATTACTTTACCAAGTTTCATAATACACTTAAAAACCTAATATGATCAAAATATATATTATACTTACCCATTGCTTTGGCTAGGAGATGTCAACCATTCCCAATCAAACTTTTCAGCACTGTAGTTAGCATTCAGCTTCGTCAGTAGCATCGGTACCACAACTCGAATGGGCTCAAGTTGCCTCTCCAGTCTGTTTTAATTTAATACATAAGAATGTACATTCGTTATTTCATACACCATAACAAATGAATCTTCATTATAGTTATATTTTTATCTCTGTCAATTAAATACACCTATACATTCACAATATAATACATTATGACGATATTTTACTCGTTAACGTTATAAGTTAACTCATTTCTAAAGGATACTAATAAAATGATTTTTTATTTTATATCGAGCTTCTTTTATTCTTTGAAACTTAACAACCTTAAAGCATGCTATTAAACTGAAGCTTGACTAAATATTGGCTTATCAAAACTCATACATGTAACAGCCTTCAAATATTTCATTCTAACAAGGTCAAATACTACTCAACATGCACCTCTCTTACAAATTGAAACTTAGAAGAATAACCTATGACAAAATCCTAAAATCCTTAAATACTAACATCAATTCAAGAGATACACCATACATGTATACATTGCGAACAAATCAATAAGAAGCATGCCAATTTACCCCTTTTTTATATTTTTAAACAAAGACAATTTAAGATAAAAGAACATTTTGGATACTAGGTTCTAAAAGCCACAACAAAGCCTTAACACAACATAGAGTCAAGGCAAAAATATGCACATAACATGGCTCAGCATGTAAGGTCTCCACATGGCAGAAAATATACCACCCAAGCCTTCTCTTTCATTTACAAGAATATAGTCGTTTCCACAATTCCTATAACGAATGTACATTCGTTATATATGACATTACAAACATAGAAGTCTCATTATTTTTAGTTGATCAACTCAATCCTACAATCATTTTATCAAACACATAGAGTTCACTTTACAAGCATTTCACAAACACATAAAGTGCATCCAATTCACCAACTCAATCCTACAAGCATTTCAATAATTAACCTCACTTTCATGCATAACACATATTAAACAATTAACCCCACTTTCATCTCTTTAATACAATACAGTACAAAATAACCACAATATCAAAAAAATCTTCTTCAACATCATTCTTTTCTTCAATTAACACATAACACATAAACTCATTTTTCTTCTTCAACTTAATAAATCTAGCATGCTTGGAAAATAATTCTAAACACAAAGGGTTCAACATCATTATACTTTTACCAACAAAAAATTACGAAAAACTAAAAAAAATGAACCCTAAAAAAATTTCTTACCAACATTGACAATAGAGAGTTCCATGAGACAGAGCTGAGAGAGAGAGAGAGAGAGCCGAGAGAGCTGAGAGAGCGTGAGAGAGAGAGCCGAAAGAGCCGAGAGAGAGAGCCGAGAGAGCGAGAGGTTACAAAAAGCAGGTTTATGTGCGGGAATGAAAAAGGAGAATAAGAAGGACCGTTTAATTGAGGGGTACATTGGTAAGTTTTGATTTAATATGATTTCTAATTAATTTTTATAACGGTGTTTGACTTGAGGGTCATTTAAACAAAATGTGATGTAGAATGGATTATTTGAGCTAATTCTCACGCTTTTCGTGGTCGCCAAATTCCTTCGCTCGTACACATTGAACAAAGATCTGTAAAGCGCCTCTGCAGTATTTAATGGAATTGAACGGAAAAAGTCATTTTATTGGTGTGCTATGATTGGTGGGTATGCGAAATCCGATGACTATATAAATTAGCTGGTGAATTTGGAGTTTGGCTTTCGGTTTTGTAAGAAATATTCACGGAACTAATCTAATAGAATATATCATCGATATTCTCTCACTTTTTTAGGAAGATCTTATTTTTAAATTTTTGAAAAATTCAAACTGATTTGGTAGAGGCAGGATATTTCAGTTTTTGCCAAAATATTTACCATAAATAGTAATTCTGAAATTTTAGGCGGGAATTGCAATTTTTTTTTTTGCTGATTTTTTAGTTGATTTTTTCAAACAAATATCATTCCCTCTTTATATATTAATAGATGTGCGTAGGTGAAAACAATTTAATTATATTAAAAATTCCATAAAGTTTAAATTCAATAATATAAATAAAAACTAAAACAAAATATTGTATATTATGAAAATTTAGTTGTAAACAATATTATATATATGTCTACTGGTCATCTCTATATAAAAATATTTACATCTTTTTGATTGGTTATTTTTAAAATTACTAGTTTCGGACATTACTGAAACCTTCAGTTACCCAGAGAATTACATTGATGATTGAACTAATATATTATCGCTACACACAACGTAATAAAATAATTTACTGTCAAATTGTAAAGTTATATTTAAAAAATCAGTTTTGTCCACACCATTACTATTATATGTAACATGTTTATCTGGTTTTTTCTTTCTAGTTTATATTTTTAATTTTATTTTTTTCTACAAAATTTTGAAAAATGCATTTGGCCAAAGTCGTACATGATATTTATATTTTTCTTTTTAATTTTTAAAAGTATTGAATAAAAAAATAAGAGTCGTCATTCAATAAAATTGTTGACATAGTATATTCGAACCATGTTGCATTATTTGCATGAATAACCCATTTCACAGATGTTGATATAAAATATATAAATATTTGTTGACAAAAATATTCTTATATATAGAATAAGTTAATATTTAGCTTTACATGCTCACTATGAGTGCCAAATAAAAAAAATATACGTAAATAACTAATTTATTATTTTATATGTAAAATAGTGATAAAATGACCAATAAATATTATGTTATATATATATCATCAAATATTTACTTATTTAGAATATAGAAAACAAAAAAAAATATATAAAATAGTTTATTGATAGACATTTTCCTTCAATAATACATGGCTATAAATGTAGATTTATGAGTTTCTTTTCATTAGCAATGTATAGTTGGCTTGAAAAATGTGACAAAAATCTAAATAGTTGTTAGATATAAAAAAAAAAATATTATTTTTTAATATTTAAATATAGATCAAAATCTCTAAGAGCCTAAAAATTTTTACGCTATTTTCAAAGTTTAGCTATCCATGAAATATAAATAATTATTTTATATTATGTTGTAAATTATAATTAATTTATGCTATATTTTTATTCGGAAACAATTACTAAAAATACTATACTGGTAGATTATGGAAACTTCAACATTTGACCTATCAAATGAGTGAATATGGAAGATCTAAAGTGATCTAATAAGAATAATTTAAGTTTTTTTACTTTCACCATTTTCTATTTTAACAAAAAAAGTATTAAAACCGCTAATATGGTGAGTAGACTTTGAAAATTATATTTTGTACAAATTTTGAATATTTACGCAAGGGAGGAGAAAATGTAAATTTTGATAACAAAATTTTATTATTAATGATATATTTATATTTGACAAAAAATTACCAAAAAGAAACTAGTATTAGTATATTATGGAAACTTCAACATTTTGACCTAGAAAATGAGTAAAGAAGGAAAATTTTGAATATGGTAAAAATATACTTGTTAAAAAAATTATTCCATATATACGATATTATATTAATGTTTATGTTAACTTTTTCTTAGGAAAAAAGTTTCTATAAAAAAAACAAAAGGCAAGTTCATAGGTTTATTTATAGAAAACTTTCTCTTTTTTAATATATAGATCTAAAAATGGAGTGTGTGTGTCTGTGTGAATGAAATTTAAATTTTATAATGGTACGAAACTTGCATTTTTTTTAATATTTATTTATTCAATATGAGCTAATAAATAAACATCTATTATATTAAACTAGTACATAGGCCGTATGATGCACGAGAAAATAAAATAAAGCTAAATATATAAATAGCATGACATGCAATTTATCATACATTATTACAAGTTAGAACATAACATCATTCTGTTACATAAGTACTAATAAAAAATACATCAACAGTTAGATAGCTTTAAAAAATCTATGTTCGACGACCAACAAAGCAGATGATGACGGCGTGAATAGGCAAAAGTCACACATACCATTGTAGAGAACTTAGTTGATTAAACATTGCTAATTAACATGAAGTGGTTGCAGCGATAAATGGCAAAAGAACAGTCTTGTTTTCCTTAAGAACAATTTCAAATTATATGAAAATTAGTATTTTTTAATTGGATTAAATAAATATATATTGGCCGGAAAAAAAAAAAACACTTATTCCAAATTCATGAGGGAGAACACAATCATTTGAGTTGGACCTCTCTTCACTTGCTTCATTTGAGTGTTATCAACCAATCCAATTACATTTACATCTAAAAAAATAAAATTAAAAAGAACAAATTCTTATTATTTGAACTAATTTAAATAATTTTAATCACGATATATTACACAGATTGAACAAAATGACTTGCTGAATAAGATAAATTCATCAACATTATCGATGTCAGACAAAGTGAGAAAGATCCTAAAGTCAAAGCAATAGGTGGAGAAATCAACATTATACTTATAATGCTAATTAGTTTGACCATGAAAGATGATTCGGTATTTGTCAATAATTGACTTGTACATGCCAATATTGCTCTCAACTTGATAGTTTCTTATAGCATAAACTGCACATTCCTAAAATTCGTTGATAAAAATAGCAATGTGAGCGGACGAATTATGTTAGTAGTACGACCACCCTACAAATCACGGACTTGTGTAAGAACAATAATTACAAATATAATACTAATGTAAGATAGCAATTTTATACACATATCTCTCGATCATGAATTATGATCTCAAGAACATTCTTGTACGACTGAGATTTATTTGCTCTTTGAAACATACGTACAATTTACAGTTTGAGCAAAATGCAGTTCGTCCTTCTAATATCTTTAATGCGAACTCATGCGTAAGTCATCTTGAAAGCTTGTATGTTGGTGAGTTTATGTGCTAATTAGCAAAATGTGTGATGTATGTTTGTGAGTTTATGTATACCGAATTATTGTCCTACTTATAATGTGTAAAAATGGAGTGCCATTTTCTAATGGACATTTATTAACAAATCCCTATTTTTTGAGATAATGCCAAATCTCACAATGATTAAATGAAATCTTCACGTATTGTT